TGCCTGTGCTCGGCCATTGCCATTGATTCCTCGCCCTTTCCTTGGCAAACCCCGAGGTCTCAGCCAGGACATAGATGCCCACCGTGCCCATCCCGGTGTCAGTCCAGGCCTGGGGGGCCAAGTGATCGAGCCAGGTGACAGGCAGCTGTTGGGCACTGCAAGCCCCCCTGCCCTCTCCCACCCCACCGTGAACATCCACTCATCAAAGCTCCCGACCAGCCCGGCTCTACAGGACTAAATTTAAAATTCCTGACTTTCTGGAAAGCTGAGCAGCAGGCATATGTTTTCTCACCCCCCTCAGTCCCTGGGGAAGCTGGCCTTGCTGCTCCAGGGGTGTTGGAGCAGGCACCCCACTGACCCTCTCCCTCTTGCTCCGGCAGGTTCATGCAGCATCCAAAGAACTTCGGCCTGATCGCATCCTTTCTGGACAGGAAGGTAAGGCCCCCACCTGGCTTTAACCTGCCTGGCACCCTCTTCCCTCCATCACGCGACTCCCTTCGGTGCCGAGCAGCCGGCGGATGCTGGGCACCCGTGGGCAGTGGGTGCTCGGAGCCCCGGGCACGGTCCGGATGCCCCCGGGCTCCCTGCAGAGACAAGGGACTGGCTTGGTTGCATGGAAGGAAGGTTTAAAAATGAGATGTGAAGGCACAGGGAGTCTGGTCCTGGACAAGACCCAGTCTGGAAAGGCAGCAGTGGGCCAGGTGCTCTCCTGGGCAGGAAAGACTTGGAAGCTGCTGTTTGCCTGGCCCTTGGTGCATCCTCTGCCCATCCCATGCAGCATTTCATCGCTCTAACCCCTCTGTTTTCAGGGAGGGTGGCCTGCAGAGCTCGCTTCCAGCCTAAATTCTTGGATTTCTGCATGGCTCGGGCTGGGGAAATAGTTTATAAGCCCTTGACTTCCCTGTGCAAAGCACCAAGCAAGGGAGGGCCGTGCTGCTGCTGTCGCTGTAGGATACCAGGCTCTTTCCAGCCTTTCCCACTCGGTAAAGCCGAAAGCGGTGGGACTTGGATGATGCCCACAGCCCAGTCTGTGTTCCAAGCTGTGAAATGTCTTCTAATTTTATTTGTACTCGTTTGTAAATCAGGCTGTAATTATGGTACAGAACACATCCATTATCCTGTTGGAGAGAGATGCGAAGTATGGCTCAACGTAATGAATTAATAGATTTTTAAATTGCATTATAAAAAAAAATAGTGATCTTAGCCCTTGGAACAGATGACTGTAAGTTTGTGTGTTCGCGTGTGTGTGGATAATCAGGGCTAGATTAGCAAGAGATCCAATTAACACTTCCAAAGTTGCAATCTGGTTTTGCAAATGTTTCTACTCCCTGCATGGGGATAGGGGGAGCGCAGTGCACCCCGGGAGCACCCGCAGCACCCTGCTCCCTGGCGCGGTGGCTCCACGGGGTTATTTCTCTTCGTGCAACCCCCATCCTGTACAGGAAGGTGTAGCCCCACACCGCTGACGCTGTACGGGAAGGTGTAGCCCCACACCAGTGTTTAGGTGCCCACCCAGCTCAGCAAACGACTCTTCCACAGTCACCTGGGATCAGTCCCTGGGGCAGGGTGCTCCATGCTCTGCGGGCCGGCGGGATGCCTCCGCTTTCTCCCTTGGGAGACCCCAGCCTTTCTCCCAGGGCGCTGCCCCCCTTCTGACCCCTGCCTGTGTCATTGCAGACGGTGGCAGACTGCGTCCTCTACTACTACCTGACCAAGAAGAACGAGAACTACAAAAACCTCGTAAGGAGGAATTACCGGCGGCGCGGGAAGAGCCAGGTAAGAGCCGGAGGAGCACGTGGAAGCAGCGCGGAGCAGCCCTTGGCACTTGCTTTCTCTGAGCATCCCAAATGCCTTTTTTACACCCTCCCCTTGGAGATCTTGCTTGCAGACTGCGGAGGGTTTTGCTCTGCGTGGCTTTGCAGGACGTGCTGGTGTCTGGGGGTCGATGTTTGTCCGTCCCCGTGCCAAGGGCATGGTAGCTTTAAAAAAATCAAACGGCAAATCCCAAGATGGTTGACCAGGGGATGGAGCGGGAAACCTGGCCACGCGTTGGGAGCAGCACGGGGCTGCTGGGCTGGGGTGCTCCTGCCTTGCAGAGCCAGCCTGAGGCCCTTCCTACGAGAGGGGAGTGAGTTGTTCCTAGGGGCTGAGGTATGGGGGGCAAATGACTTGGGTGGGAGTCGCTCCTGGCGTCACCTGAGCAGAGGCATAACCTGTCTGAAGTGCCAGAGGATGCCCATGGGGGCTGGCAGGTTTGGCACCGAAGCTGGAGGAGACCCGTAACCTTTTGGTTAAGGGCCAGGCAGGTGCCCAGGGCACCCCGAGGTGCCTGGGGGTGGGTGACGGAATCAACCCTTGCCGTTACCGTGGCCAGGATACAGATCTAGACGTGACCGTGCTGGTGTTGCTGCTGATCCCGCGATAGCCGCGTACCCCGATAAACGCCAACCTTTTGGGCAGGCACCTTGTCCCTGCCAGTGCTCTCAGCCACAGGAAGGTCCCCCTGGTGGGTCCCCAGGTCCATGAGCGGTTATCCATGGCCTGAGGAGGGTGAGGTGACGGTGGAGGGAGTAGCTCTCCAGATAACGTAGGGATGGGGATGGAAAAACCAGCCTGGCCCGTGCTGCCGCTGACATCAGCAGCTCTTCACACTGCATGGCCATAAAAAGCAGCGCTTGGGTCCAGACCCTGATGGGGAGGCAGATAGGTACTTCGCTCCAGTTCGATTTCTGCGGCATTAAGGCATCGGAATAGCTCGCGCATGACGAATGTCATGGACAGGGCCCAATTTTCCCTGCTTTTTTTTTTTTTTTTCAGACACACTAGAGCTGGATAAAGCCCTGTTAGATTATCCAGTCCCTCTCCCAGCAAACACAGGGTGGTTCCCTCCAGTACATTTTTATAGTGTTTACCACGGTCTGTTTTGTTAGATCACAGCAACTAGAACACGAGGCCACATTTGGTTCTTGTTAGCGGTGGAGACGTTTAGCACAGCTCACGCTGGTCGCGATGTGAAGTTGGGCAAGTAACAAGTGTGGAGGGAGAGAGGGACCATCTTACCGCCCCTCTCCATGTCTGCCCGCCCAGTCCGGCGGCCACAGACCTGCCCAGCCTGCCCCCAGCAGGTACCATCGGTATTTGGGGGTTTACCTGTATCCAAAGCATCGCTAGCTGCGGGATTGCCCCCTCGCTTACGGGTCTGGTGCGGCCCGGGCAGCGGAGGTGGCGCGCTGCCGTTTGGATCCTTGTTCAGCCTTTGGAAGGGGAATTGCTGCTGTAGCAAAAGGCAGGAGTGTTTCTGCAGGAGGGGGCAGCAGTATCTGTGAATCGGTAACGGGAGGGCTGCTGGGCACCGAAGGGAACAGGTCTCTCCTCCGCTGCTGCAGGCCTCGACCGGAACATGATTGATTTTCAGAGTCAGATCGCTGAGTTGGAGGGAAAGCGAAGTATTTCCCATTACTGTGGGAAGGTGGGATGCTGAAACAAGCTGGAAGAGCCAAGGCTGCACGAGCAGGAGTAGGAGAGAGGTGCAGAACAAGAGCTGCGCTGGTACAGTCCAGCCTGGAGCAGCTCTCCCCAGGGTCCAGGGACGGTCCAGGGACACAGAGTTTATGCTGCGCTGCCTTCTGTGTGTCGCTTGCATACGTTGCCGGTGAGGCTGCGTGCGGAGGAGCGCTGGAAAAGCCTGGGCGCGGGATTGGGAAGGGCTGCTGAGGGGGGACAGCGGAGGCTGAGTCTGTGCTGCAGGGAGAGGCTGTGCTGGGCAGGGAGTCGTTTTAGGGTGGGATTTCAAGGTAATGGAGGGAAGGCTGGGATGTTAGGAGTCCTGCCAGGAGCTGGCGGGAGCGGGGAAGCATCTCCCTTGTGCCCTTCACGAAACGTGGTGCCGATGGGACCTGCTTTCCCGGGCCAGGCTGGGTCAGCATATGGCTGTGCGTGCCAGCCTGGGAGAGGTTGGATACTGGCAAATCTGGAGGGCTGGGATGGAGGAGTGCTCCTGGGGGGATTTTTCATTAGTGAGTCTCTTGGGAAGCTGCTCACGTGCTGCCTGTGGCTATGGAAGGGAGCTCGTTTGGGAATAACCTGTCCAGGAGGCTCAGCCTTGGCCTCCCATCCTCCTGCTTGTTCCCAGGGCTCCTGGATTATTTGTAGCCCCATGCAGGTTGCTCGTCCTGGTGCCTGTGCGAGTCGGGGCTGCAGCTGGGGAGCTGTTGGGCTGCCCCAGAGCCGGGGGCTCTGCCTTCACCCCCCCACTGGTGTCAGCCACCAGAGACGGTGACAGGAAGAAGGGTGGGAGACACGGGACAGCCCAGGGATGGGCAGCATCTGGGGAGCGTTGGGAGACCTGGCGCTGCGTTCCCAGCACTTCCTGTGCTCTGAGCATGGATTTTCCTGCCGTTAAACCCCCAAAGTGCGATCTAATGGATTTAGAGGGGCGGGAGGAGAGGCTGACTTTAATATCTGGTGGAAGGAGCGGATGAGTTCTGGTACAAAGAGCATTTCAGGTAGCCCTGCACTGCTTCTCGCCCCCGTTCTCACGGAGAGGTTGGTGGTCTTATTTGCTCTTGGAGGCTGCGGGGAGCTTGAGAGTGAAGCAGAGATAATTACACGTAGAAATAAAGCTGCTCTGGTGTCAAGATTATCAGTGTGGCCTACTTATTCAAAGTCCATTACCAAATAAGAATCCCACTGCTCCTTGGCTGCTGGTCCCCTGGCAAAGGATATTCTTCATAAAGCTGCTACTTAGTGCTAAAATCACCTGCCAAGAGCAGGGACTTCGCGTCATTCCGCTTCCAGTTTGTTGGACAACGGAGCAGTCGGAGGCAGGGCGCGTGCTCCCAGCATCCCGCCTTCCCCCACGCCAGTGATTGGATGGTGCTTGTGGCTGATGGATTGTTGGGCATCATATTCGGGCCCCTGAGATGAAAATACCTTCTAAACCAACCCTCTGGGTTCAGGTATGGAAAATGCCATGTAACCCTGAAAGGGGAGGGGGATCCATGGGATGAGGAATAACTTCCAGGTGTGTAACTTCTCATTGGAAGGGAAAAAAACCTAGAAAAAGGTTAGTCACAGTGAAACGATCGGATCCGATACTCGGTGTGCAGTGATAAGCATAAATTCGCATGAGCTGTAATGACGGGCCCTTGTGCAGACGTGTCGCTGGTGGGGGGGGTGTTGCAGTTGCTCTTCAGGGTGTTTCAAGGAGCATCTCTCTGTGACCCCCCTAATTGGGTGGCGGGGGGCACTGCAGTGGGAGCGGGGCGGTTGGTGCCATGTCCTTCGCTCTTTGGGCACGCTGCTCAGCCGGGCTGGAGTGGTGCTGGCGTTGGGCGGAATCCATGCTGGGAGAAGCTCTTCCGGCATCATTATTCCATGTGGGGCGTGATGGGGGGTTATTCCAGAGGAACTACGCTTTGCTTTTGGAGGAGCATTGCCCCCGTGGCAGCCGGTTACGCTTCCTGCAGCACCGCCGGGTTGGAAAAGCGGCCCAGCCCCCACGCGGTCCCGGGATGGGGAGGAGGTTGGCCATCCCGCCAGGCGATGCTCTTGCCAGTGGCAGGTCGGTCAGCAGCGGTGATGGGCGGCCGGAGGAGCCGCCTGCCCGCCCCGGGGATGACTCAGGGGTGGATGAAGTCATGGACGTGCCGTCATGTCAGGCCTCCCCCGGCGCTGGTGTCAGACACACTCACTTATTCCCCGCCAAAAGGGCCCCACGCGTTAGCGCTGACACTTTCGAGGACTCGCTCCCTGG